TTCTCCCCGACATTGACCATCATCATAATTCTCAGTCCTTTCACTACCTCTTCCTTTTCTCTTTTTTCTTTACCCTTCTCTCTTCTATCGCTCCCTTGTTTCCCCCTTTACCTCTCCTTTTCTTTTACTACCTTTTGTTCCTTTCCACTTTTGCACTTTTTCTACCACATTATTTTCTCCACTGTTGCCTCACTCCACTAATTACATTTTTTCTTTCCTCTACTCCCTCGTTCCTTTCGTCCCTATTTTTATCCCTGTTGATACCTATTATTTTATAATGGGATGAAGTTCCATTTATGCTACTCACAAAGCAAACGTTATGTACAAAAATAAAAAAATTATAGACACTATTTTGCCTGGGGGAAGAAGCTGCTCTGTTGTCTGGTACTTACTTTCCCTCTCGAGACACAAATACAACTTTTTTCACATACACAGTAGCCTATATACCTTTAACGTACATTTCATTAACTTTGCAATCAGGGATTTGCAGTGAAATGGTTCAGCTCCATTACAAAGTGGTGATAATGTCTTTGTAAAGTGAAAAGGAGAAGATAACTGAGCCTTTATTCAACTTGCTTCATGTTTTCTGAACAATCTGCACCAGTATCAGAAACATGCAGGAGGAAACACAAACAGCCCAAGCTAACCAATCACAGCTCTTGTTATCTCCATGTGGTATCTCTGTAGCAGCCGTAGCCACTTAACACACAGCCATAAATCAAACCTTATGCACACAAATCCACAATTACATCCACGATACCTCTAGAAGAATAAACTGAAAGTTTGTGAATTTACAATCAGACCTCCTTCTGCATTCAGACTGACACTGCTCAACATTGCATTTCTATAACACAGTCAAACTCATTATACCCACTTTAAAAAGGATCAAAATTGATGCCAACTTCACTTAAAGCAAATTTATCAGATTTCACACAGCTCCCTCTTGAAACACAAATGTCTTTATACAACTTTTTTAATATACACAGTGCTCTCCAACACCTTTTAGGAAACAGACCTGCTTTTTTATTTTTTCTACTGGCATTTTATTGATCCCAAAGGGGAAATTCGTTAAATTCTCAGCATTTAACCCATCTTAATTAGGAGCATTGGCAACTGTGTAATGTCTGGGGAGCAGTTAGGGATTCGGGGTCTTGCTCAGGGGCACCTTCGGCAGTGGCCCATGATTGACTCAAACCAGCGAGCCTTTGGTTCCCAAGCCAAGTCCCCGCGGACTGAGCTAATGCTGCCCCTTTAACAGTGAAACATCTGTGACAGGAAACAGTTATGAGGTTAATTATCACTGTGACACAATGAGGCTTTTCACACCAAGAGTTTAAATACATATTTTTTTAAACGTCAGCCTAATGAGTTCTGTGGGTTGAGATAAAGTATAAGATAATTTAATCAAGACAACTGTATATTCAATAAAGAAGTGCTTACCTTAAAATCTACCCATTAGAAGCTAATGAGCTTTCAGCTCTAATCAATACAGCCTCTGATCATAGTGGCTACTTCCTCCATGAATTGTGCAGCCTGTGGTTCCTGCAGCAGCTGAGGGGCTTCATACCATCCGACCTTACTCCTGTTGATATAAATACATATTCGAGCTGCTAATGAAGCTATTTTCATGTGCAGCAGTGTGAGTGCGTGTGTGTGCACAGACAACAGCAGCAGCAGAGATGAAAGCTCATTGATCCCACAGCGAAGCCACAGCTGCTCTCTGCACAGGGTCTCGTTATTAATCTGAAGCTTTTAAACGCCTCGATCACAGCCATTCTTCATGATTACGGCTGCTGCTGCCATTTAAACACAGATTACAGCAGTGTCGCGGGCACAGGTAAATATGTAGTTATTACAGCAGCAACGTTATAACCCCGATTACAGGGAGGGAGAGAACCAGAGAGCTTAGTATATATTTTGCTATGTTTCTGTTTTTAAGTAACTGCAGTGTTTTCTGCCATAATAAACTAATTCAGCAGAGTTATTGTTTGGAAGAGGAAACACGAGCTGCAACATGATCCTCATTAAAATTCAGACATATAATCAATGCATAATTACATTACACACACTGAGCTCCACATCTGAACTGTACTGTTATCTGGATTTAGATTTCTTTCTTTACAAAAATAGCACAAGTAAAATCATGTTTATCACACATGGGCATCATTTCACATGCGTTGAATTTATAAAACCAGGTGGTTTCCACTGAGATGTCTCTTTTCTGGAAGGAAGCCTGAACTCCAGCTGTAACACCCCACTGGCTGTGATCACAGAGTGAGCGTACCGTTTACTGTTGCTGGTTATGTGCTGTTACGTTATGGTCAAGCCTGCATCGTTGCCGCTCCTATAAATTTGCATGGGATTTAGCCATTATGGTTTGACTGTTATTGCTGTGACACTAACTGCATGCAGGGGTTATGCAGGTGCAGTGAATTGACATGGATGTATAGTAACATTGTTTTTCATTGAGTCTCATTGATCACGGCCTCACAAACAGTTACCACTGCTGCTGCTTCAAATAAAAAGTATTCATCTGGCAAAATACAGGGTGAAAGGAAGCACGATGTATTTGTCACTGAGGTTAGCACTCACCGTGATTGTTCCACCAAAAATACATCTACAAAACAACACAATGGTCATTAGGATTTTATTTTTCGGCTCACTTTTAAACATTGCAGGGAGTCAAGGAACAAGAAAGAGCAGCCCCAGTGAGCTGTTAGATGAAATATTGCAGGCAGCAGGCTGAAAACCTCCAACTCCCCGGCTGGGAACTCTTACTGTGTCCTGCTGCTGTCTGGGAAACTACATGTGTAGCATGAAGTGTTGCTCCTTTTTCTGTCAAAGTAGCTGCTCAAGGAGAGTTTGCTGTAGCATTAAATCACACTTGCAGTCACTACCGTTAACCAGGGGTTCCGCCAAATCAACTGAAACAACTCCTGCGGTGCTTCCATCACATCTGAAGGAAGCACAAAGATCAAATGCTGGTGGTAGTGTCTGACTTTACATTGCTTTCTTGGTAAATCTACCAAAGCAATTGAATCCATTTGATTACTCTCCAATCACATCACATTGCGACACATAAAATGTCACATAAATATAGACAATGAAGTTTAAACACATAACCCCACAGTGGCACTAAACTATACCAAAGAGGTACATTCATGATTGTGTCAGCAAAGATATTTTATCTAGGCTTTTTGCACAACATCTTTATTTAATGCAGCACAATATGCAGGCTCCTTGGAGTTTTATAGCACATGTATGAGATTGAAAGTATTAATATCAGCAATATTAATTACAAGCCACCAGATGTCAATGTGTTTGCTGAGTAAATGTTTGTCGTCAAATATTCAATGCAAGAGCACATTTACTTGGCAGTGTTGTGGATCCTGGATTTGCTATTAGAGCAGCCCAGATTAATATAGTATGGACTGAAATGTACTATAACTTAGTAACTAAACATTTATTCTGTGAACTCTTCTTCTTCTTTTTAGGTGATGGGAGTGAAAATGAGTGATCTGCTACATTCATTGTGTTATTGTTTCACACAATTAAATAAAAAAAAAAATAGGATGTAGGCTCTACAGGATGATTTTTTCCCCTGAGCAACTATTAGGTTTTTCCCAAATGAATTCTATTATCTCAAATGGCTTGAAAAATAGTGCATTTAGCTGCCGTAAATGAGGAGCAAAATCTCCCCGGGGCGGGGGGGCATACTGCCAGACCCCCCCCGAGATCGGCCCGTGGTTGCATGCATCAACACAACATTCAGTCAGCGCAGGGAGTGTGCGTGGCCAAGCAGTGTGGAGAAAAAATTGACAGCACAGGAGAAAGGAGAGAGAGCACATTAAAAAGAGAAAAGCCTGCGGGGAAAGTGCTGGCAAATGCTGTAAAATTACAGGTATCTTCACAAGCAAGGGATATGGTTGGTGTTTAAAAAAACCCCCATAATAGCAGGGGTGCTCTGAGCACGTCATATCACTACTACCTTTCCCAAGTTGATTCTGTGTTTTAAAAAACTTTTGCTTTGCTGGAAAGCAGGAGATCTGCATGAATGGAAATAATCTGGGAAATAACGACCTGAATGCTCTTTTCTGTGGAAATACGTCCAGTTACTAAGAGCTACAGAGTTTCAAAATGATAAACAGAAGTCCAGTCAGAGCTCTTAGGAAATGACAGATGCAAACCAAACACTCCAAAAGTACACAGAAATGATGAATGAATATTTGTCACTGTTGCCTTAATTATGGAAGTACACTTGAAACTGTTGTTGACGCTTGGCTGTTTTAAGTATTTTGGATGTTAACAAAGTAAAAGCTATGTTTCTGGAATAAAGAGTAAACAGAAAGACCAGAGTACATGGTCTCTTGGGAATGGAGTGAATGTGATTGGCCTTAACTGGCGTCAGATCCAGGCCTGAATTATTATTCCAGTCCGGCCATGAACACACGTTACCGCTGATTAATTTCAACACGCCACTTAACAATCTAAATAATGTCGGAGCTCGTCTGGTTGCGATAACATTTTAATCAGCAAGAACCGGGTCTGATTACCTCACAGTGACCAGCCGAGGAGAAAACAGCGTCGACTTCTGCTGTAATTACATCAAGAGTCAATTACACGACCTCTCCTCCTGTTCGCCCATCAACACACACTGAGCAGGAGCACAGCGAGGTGAACAGCCAGCAGATTACAAAACACAGTGGCTGTTCATCCTGCCTGTCCTCCATCACTGGTTTTAATTAATCCCAGTGGATTTTTAAAGTAAAACAAACTCTCAGATCTTGTTTGGGTTCATGGTGTAAAAAGGACAAGACAGATCATCTTGTTACTCAACACACCAGGCTTTACCTGCTGCTGCTGGTACAGAGAAGTTAGTCTAACCACGACTTACCAATAGTGAACTACCACTGGACATTCAAAAGGTGGTGCTGGAATACCACCTGTAACAGAGCTCACTAAGTTCAGGAAGAGTGCAGCCAGCTCTCCGGGTTTCCTACCTGTCTCTCTGGAGATCTGGATGAAGGCCTCGACGCCGCTCTCACCGTAGTTTCCCTCGGAGGCGAGTGTGGACACGTAGTTCCAGCCCATTGCTGTGACGATGTCCAGCATGGCCTGAGCCTGGTAGGAGTCCGGAGGAACCACGCGGGAGAAGAAGTCATAACGCGTGTTGTCGCTGAGCTCTGGAGCCGTCGAGGCGTAGCTGATCTGAGGAATCTGTGGAGACACGGCAGGGTTAACTTGTTAGCTTCAAACCACAGAGGCGGCAGTCATAATATGTGTACTTTAAGCCAAAATCTAATTCACTAAAAAGCAAATTAACTCAAGCTCAATCAGAACGCAACACAAGTTCAAACCTGATTTCTCCAAAGTCAAACAACATTGTACCCATCAGACTGCGTAAATATAACGCTGTTAAATGATTAATCATTTTCAGTCGCTTCTTCTTACACTACATTCCTACAGTCAGTGAAACTGAACACTGCAGATGTTTCACTTGAAAAGTTACCAAGAAAGGAAGGAACATATGTGGAAGAAGTATTCAGAGAGTTTTTCCTCAAGTACAAGTACCAATTCATTAATGTAAAAATACTCAATCACAGGTAAAAGTAATTCAAATAGGCAGTGCATTTCCCATGGCAAGCAATAGTGTTGGTTAATCAAGAGCAAAAATTTAGAGCACATACTGTAGGAAAACAAATTAAGTATGTTGTCACTGAACATTTAGCACATACAGTATGTTTCCTCATTATGTTGATTAAAAACTGTATTAGGCATTTGGTTTCTTTTGCTTTTGTAAAAATAATTTCTACGAGAGATGAAAATAAGACTGCAAATGCTTTCATTTTGGACAATTTTTATTTTGTATTTTTGTATAATTTCAATTTAATATTTTATTTTTGTTTGGGTTTGTTTGTTTGTTTGTTTCTTTTCTCTGAGGCTTGTCTTCTTGAATGCCTGACGTCTTACACAACAAGCTCCTAACAGAAAGTTAGAAAACATCGCCAGCAGCCGGTTTGTTAAAGTGTTTTCAGTCACATTTTTAAATGCTGTTAAGCGTCGCTCCCAAACATCATGCAGTATATTTGTTGAGATTTAAAAAGATCGAGTTTCAACCTTAAATCCTGACCTTTCCTGGCTCCCTGCTGTTCAGTTTCTTGTCAGAGTAGAGTTAGTGAGCTCTGCTGTGTGAATTAGAGAGGCGGATCAGGTCATAGATCCCGCTGCAGACAGGCCGACAGGCCCGGCGGGGAAGGATAATGGTCCTTTAGAGAAGGATTGAAGGGCTGATTGATTTCACTTCAGTTAGAGGCCTGCGTGTTGGACCGAGTGCCGTCGGACGCCTCATCAGGATTCACAAGAGGAGGAGGAGGGAAGAAGATGGACAGCTGAGGGCCTGACAGCAATACAAATGTCACTCAGGGCGTCTCGCTCTGTGACAGGCAACAAATTAAAGGCCTGTACTGTAAATACAAACCTGTCTGAGAGCTGACCCTATCAGAGTGCTGCAGCTTTAACCATCAGAGAGGAGCTGAAGTTTATTTCTTCTAGAAGGGAACACAAAGAATACGCCTGAGGCTCTGATGCTTTACTGAGTTTTCTACTTTTTAAAAACTTTCCTGTTTATCTGATGGCTGCACAACAACTTATTATTACTTATTTGGAGATTCACATTTTCCATTCAACATGAGATAATAAAAAGTGCTCCAAGTTAAACAACAAAATATGTTGTTTGTCCACGCCCTCTAGAACAACAGATTTGCTGATCTGATGCTTTATCGATGGGTAAAGTTTTCTGAATTTACCACTTGATTATGGAAAGGGGATAATGACTGACGGTGGTCATGACTGAAAGAAACCAGGAAACCAGGGAACAATTATTGGTTTCATGTGGCTGCTTTGTTACATGAACTTAATAATAATAATAATTTCAGTATTTTAAAACCTGGGCCCTATTTTCACATATTTTGTACTTGACATGACAAGTACTGTAGTTACACAAGGTTTTACAGTAGATGGCTTCAGCCGGCAGTCACAAACTGGCTGCAGCGGCTTTAACGTATTCCTTCAGGGCAATTGCACCCGTCAGACATCATGGAAAGGATCCCTATGAGAAACAGGGCAAGGACAATTCTCGCTCTGAAGTCTCATGAGAGGCGAGTTGTAGCAGGAAGACGACGGAGGAAACGTGATTTAGAGTTGGAGAGAGGAGTTTGTTCAGTTGGAGTAGCATTAGGAAATAAACTTCTTGCTAGCAGCTCAAACACATCCCTCTCCCTCTTGGGACACATTTTAGACAACATCTAAAATTGTTTAAGAGATTTTTTTATCATGTATCAAACCTGGAGATATGAAATAGTGTTGAGTGCAGGCCAAGAAACTAAAACACTGAGATAAAAAAGCTTACAGTGAGCTAAACTCCTCTTTGACAAAAGAAATCCGAACTCAATGATGGAACACACAATGGAAATTAAAACAAATCAACAAAATTAGGTGCTAAATAACAATGTGTATTTGTACACAGACAGATTAAAGCTCTGAAAAGAGGGGAAAGAGAAATGAGAGCGGTTCGTGAAAGAACTTTAATATGGATTGGGGGAATAACTACATTTAATTAAAAAGCATGTACGCACGACCGTCCTGCTCTGATGTCAGATACAAGGGTTTTGTGTAACAGTGGTGAAAAATCAGAAGTCGTGATGCAATATGATATAGCCACACAGATTACACACACACACAAAGTACAGTAAAGGCTAAAATTACTGCAGCTGCGTGAGAATATAACAGGTATAATTAGCATGATGCATTGTGGGCTGAATAAACAGCAGCGTCAGTTACTGACGCATCGTCAGCTGCTGCTCCATTAAAACACATCAGCTCCTCTCATTAACACACACTGCTCCTGTCTTTAAATGGCCACACTCCTGTTTCTGAATGTTTTAGCCAATTTAATGTGAATGAAATGTGTTGTTGACCTTTTTCTGAAGCACATCACAGTGTCCTGTACTTACGGTACTGCGATTTGAGCGTTTGGAGTGAACATGCACATTCTCATACCATTAATCCAGTCTGAGCCGGGGGCCTACACCCTATTGGACGTGACTGGACTTAAAAACTTCTAGGCGCCCAATGAGTTGTCTTCTCTGTAGTACGGCACATCAAATAAAACAGTTAAAAACAACATCTTCAAATTATAGCAGTAATCTAGGAATGACCCTTTTCTCTCTCTCTCTCTCTCTCTCTCGCTCCTGCCTGTCATTCACCGGTCTTGTGCAGAGTTTTGCGTGCATGCCATGCAGCCAATTTCAAGTAGAGTAGGCTATTTAAAAACCGATAAAATATTCTTTGTGTTGTTCATCAACAATCAAATCAAATTATCCGAAAGTCCCGCGAGGTGCGGACAACTCCGCACTCGGAGACTTAATGCAAGGGAGCAAGTAGCTCCCACGTGACGAAGCATTAACTTCAACACGGCATTAATCTGAAGGAACGCACCGTGTTCAATGTGTTGCGCTCTCCCAGCTACGATGACGCCCCAGATTCAGCTGATAACGTTAACAGTAGCAACATCTCACAGTCAGGTACAAAAGACAAGTGAGCTGACATTCACCTTTTATACCGAAGGGAACCGAATGATGTCTACAAATTATTCCAATATGTATTTTTCTTAAACACCCAAGCAACACACCTCTTTAACAGAAACTCATTTCACATTAGACATTAAGGGGAAGAAGATGGATGCATGTCACCAAGCCGTGACAAGATTTATGGTGAAGGAGTTGGAATCAGAACCGAGATTTGATATGGTCGGATTTGATGAGTAGAATCGGAATCAGAATCTATTAAAATGAAATGAGATGCAACCCTAGAAAGAAGTTGATTTATGTTGAAACTGAGTTAAATAATGCACAGGCAGATTTCTCCACTTAAATAAGTACCTTTGGGCTTTATTATAGACAAATGTCGTGTAAAGCTGGAGATGTTTGGCAGTGTGGAGGTGAAGAGGAAGTAGTCTCAGTAAAAGCTCCCCAGAGTCATAGGAGGTCTCAGCGGGGACCAACAGCCGATGTGATCTGGACCTGGAAGTCGACAGCAGCAGCTGATGAACTTGTCATCTCTCGGCAGGCGAGTGGCCTGCTGATGGATGACAACCTGACAGCGCGCTCATCACCCTCAACACCAGATCTTTACTTTGAGACCCGGCGAGCTGGATCAGGCCTGGTCTCACACCGAGGACAGATTTCTGTGTGTGGACATGTTTACACCGTCTTTACATCAGAGGACACGTTTGCTGTTTTCCGTGACAGTGATTGATACTCGTCATCCTGCGACAGCCTCAAGCTTTCTGCCCGATTGGATGATGATGAAAGAAGAAATCTATCTGCGGTGACAGCACACGTCCATCATCGCTCACTCTGCGCTCTGATTGTCTTATTCAAAGTAAAGCTCTATTTACTTTAATCTGCCTCTTTTCCTGGACAATAAACAGCTTTGTCCTCGAGGTAAAATCCTACATGGCTCCTGCTGTCACTGCTCTGTTTCTCTTAATGTTTGTCTCTCGCTGTGATCAAACTGAATTCAGGGTGAAGTTAGAATGACTCACTGCCGCACTGAAAAGTCCCCGCTCGAAAGAAAAAACTCAGCAACCAGGCAGGAACTCTGTTTCCTTTTTTAATTAAATGCTCAAATTAAAGAAGACATGTCATGTAGGCTTTCTGATTTCTCTAATTTCCCATTAATCTCTAAAAAGATCAGATTAACCCGCTTTGGGCCTCTTAACCCGTCCACTGTAACATTATGAATCCTTTCGTCTCCCATTAAACTGAATTTTCTCTCAGCAAGACACGGCCTGTAGTTATCAAGCAGTTTAGAGTAGGAAATAAGTCCTTCACATATTCAGTGCTGCCTTTAAGATTAGTGAAACTGTTCTTTCATCATTGTTAATATTTTATATTTGGGAGAGCTCCAGAAGTTTCCTAACCTGGCAGGAGTCACTGAGAGATGGAGGTCATGAGAATTGACACCATACTACATCGGCACCAAATGTAGTATGAACAGAACCACATCCGCTGTCCTTGCCAGGTCCTTCAGGTCTTTATACAGAAATATAGCAGAAAATCTTTGCATATGATTAAACGTCCAGAGAGGATTTGAACCTACAACCTCATCAAGGTTTCGTGAGCTTTATTAGGTCTCACAGGGAATAATTAGATCTC